GAGAGAGAGAGAGAATGAGCGGTGGGGAAGGGCAGAGGGAGGGAGAGAGAGACAGAGAGAGAGAGAAAGAGAGAGAGAAGCAGGCCCTCTGCAGAGCAGGAAGCCATCCCAGGACCTGGAGATCATGACCTGAACTAAGGGCGAATGCTTAACTGACTGAGCCACCCAGGTGCCCCGGAAATTTCAGTTTTAAAGTATTTCTAGCAATTTGTAAGATTCACTGTCTCAGTAAAGTATTTTATCTAGATGGGAAAAAAATTTTTTTTGGCTCCAAAATGGCATTTAGATAAGCAGTCCTCTGAAAGCAACTGAATGTCTGTTAGTAAGGAATGGATAACTTTATGATATATTTGGTGGATAGAATATTCTACAGAACTTGAAAAGAATGAGCCAGACCTTTCTGCACATCGGTGTGGATGAAACTCAAAACCTAAAATGTAGAGTGAAAAACACAGATTTCAGAATGTTATATATTTGTTATGTAAATGTTAAACATTACTTAGAACAATATCATATGCCAGATAATGTTTATGAATGTGTGTGTGTACAGTGCATGCCTACGTATGCCTATGAATAAAAAGTGGACTGGCTCTCTATCAAATTCATGATAGTGGTTGTCCCTGGGAGAAGAGGAACAGGGATAGGGAGGGGCACATAAATGTACATTTTTAAAAAGTTCCTGAGTTGGGGGCGCCTGGGTGGCTCAGTGGGTTAAGCCTCTGCCTTCGGCTCAGGTCATGACCTCAGGGTCCTGATTTCAAGCCCCACATTCGGCTCTCTGCTCGGCAGGGAGCCTGCTTCCCCCCCTCTCTCTGCCTGCTTCTCTGCCTGCTTGTGATCTCTGTCTCTCTGTCAAATAAATGAATAAAGTCTTTAAAAATAAATAAATAAATAATAAGTCTCTGAGAAGATAAGGTTATCTCAGTTAATGGGCTCAGGTACATTTGTTATATTAACATATGGACTTCTATTAAAATTTTTGTAATAAAAAATTCTGTGTAATATTTCCTAACGGAAATGTATTTCTCGAGACTCTGGGAATGAGACTAAAACTATTCTAATACATCTCATTCACGATGCCATTCTGTGAAAAATGAAAAGTTGACAGAATAAATCTTGAATGGGAGGAAAGCTCCAGATTCACCTGCTCCTGGGAAGTTCTCGCAGCTTACAGGTTTGGAATAAGGACTCAGGCAGCAGACCGCCTAGACCAAACCCTGGCTTGCCAACTTCCAGGTTTGAGACCTTGGACAGGTAGACCTTTCTAAGCCTTTCTGTGTCCCTAGCTGTAGAATTTGAGTAACATTGCCCGGGGCCAGGGCTGGGGAGGCTGTGAGCTCATGCGAGGGGTACACACTCCCCGAGATCAGCTGTTAACTGTTTCCAGCATTGCTCTATCAGCAGCCTCAATTCTTCTGTGTGTAGTTTTCATTCTCACCTCAGAATCTTTGCAAATGCTCTTTCCTCTGCCCAGAACGTTTTTCACTTTCATCTCTCTTTCTGGTTAACTCTTCAGTAGAGTTCTCTGAGAATTCCCCCAATTCTTCAGGGAAGCGTCCCTGTCCTCAGCTTGGGTCAGTTTCTAGCCATACCGCAGCTGTAATTTAAATAATTACTTGTGAACCGCTTATTAATATCTGCCTCTCTCCTGGTTGGTAATCTGTTTTTAGTTTTTTTTTTTCCCTTTTCTACTTTATTTTTAGTGCCTAAAACAATGATATAGAATAGGCATTGAGAAACTATTGATTAAATCAACAGTTATTGTAGATGGTGGAAACTTTCGGAGTTAATTTTTTGAGGAAATAAATTTTACTCACTTTGCCAAAAGGATTAACCTACTAGTTTTAGTAAGTGAATCTAGGATTATGTGATTTCATAAAAAAATACTTATCACATGTATTGGTTTACTTGTAAAAATATTATAAAGTACCCCAAATTAAGATTTGCATCATATTTGTAATTCGGCTTTAGATAATCATCTGATGGATAGTAATATAAATATCATCACATATTTTCATGTACTGTGGAAAGCAGGAAAATTTTCAATACTTTAATCTTAAGATTTTATGTAGGTTCATCTGATTGCTTGCCCTCATGTTAACTCACTTTTTTCTTTGAAAAATAGCAAAAGAGGAATTAACAGGTGATACTTCCCAAGGAGCAGAATAAGTCAGGTTCATTCAGAATTAACTGACAAGTAAATAAGCAGTTTGAGAAAAATGGCTTTTGTCAATTGGATGGAATGCTACTTGTAACCTTTAAGCAAACTGAAACAGCAAACTCTGACTTTCAGAGTCAGAAGAAGGGCAGGAAACGGATTCCCTCTTATTTGTTGGTTTATTTACTCTGGGAGAGAAACATAAGAACACTTCCAAATTTAAGGAAGGTCTGTGTTCAGATATTAGTGCATTTCTCCAGGAAAGATACCACATAGGATTTTGAAGTGATTAAAGTCCAGATTTATTAGATAGGGGATCAGAGCCAGAAACAGGGACTTTCAAAACACTGAAGGCATTTTTAGGACTCTGATGGATGGTAGGGAGGTGAAATTTCAGGGCTAGGTAAATAATGCAAAGCCCTCCATTGAAAAAGGAGACCACAAATTGTAGCCTTGGGAGAATTACCCCTTCCCCACCTTTGCAGACACATGATTTTATACAAATAACGCAGATCACTGGGAAAAAATTTATGGCCATATTTTCTTTCACTCTGCTTCTCTGTTAACTGTTGTATAGGGAAATCATAAATAACTACATTTTTGAATGCTGAATGCATATTTAAAATATAGTTGCTTGGTTTTAAATATTTGCCAAGCTTGGAGTATGATCATCATTTTTTTTTTTTTAATGGAAGTAAAACATTTCCTCTTTAGAATTGTGCAAAATTATTGTTCAAAAGTATGACGGGGGCAGGTACTGCAACATACGAGGATACAGACTTACTTTGAATTTTGAATGTGTGGACTCAAAAAATCCTGCTAATTACCACTTACCCTATGTATTAGTCATCTGCCCCCAGATCAAGGTGGGAGAGTACTTTTGAAGTCATACGATTAGAGGATTCTGTGCACTTTGGGGAACACTAATTTAAATCACATTTTAAGGCTGGTAGTCGAGTTATATCCTTGACACTCTTGACTCACAGCCTTGGCATTACTGGGCAGCTTGCTAGAAATGCAGATTCTTAGGCCGCACCCCAGACCTACCTAATCAGAATCTACAGTTTAGCAAGATGCTCAGGTGATGCCAATGGACATTTAAGTTTGTTAAGCGCTGCTGTCCAAATGCCCCCAAGTGATTTTTAGAACAGTATTTTTAGTAACAAGTGACTCATTATCTAATAATGTAACCTGTTATCTTTCTTGTATTATCTTTGGGCAACCCAAATATTAGCAAGTTCTCTCTTTCTGAGCTGAAACCTACCTCCTTGAATATTGCGTTTACTGGGTTTGGCTTAATAGCCCCCTCCCTTTCCCCTCACCCCACTCAGCCTTCAGAACCAGGCTAATGCCTCTTCTTCATGATGGTCATTCAAACAGGAACTGGGCGATCCTGTTTCCTGCCTTGATTTAAGTTTCTCCAGGTGTAAGTAAGTCCCTCTCCCCCGAGCTCTTCCTGATATGATACTTTTTGGGGTTTCTTTACCCAGTGTTCAGACTAGATAACTTCAAAGGACCCTTCCAACTTCAAAATTGTGATTTCTCCTTTACTTTAAGCTGGTAGTTAAGTACTAGTGGGCAGAAGATGACAGAAACGCAGGAACTGTACTTTCTTTGCGTTTAAGGAGAATGATTCTGAGGCACAAATGTATAATTATCCATAATTTCCTTAGGCTCAGAATTCTGCTTCACAGTGGAGACTTCCATTATAATAATAGCTACGAGAGAGCACCACTTTGCTTTTCTTGTAATTTCTAAATGCATCAACTTCTGCATTTCAAAAGTGGAAATAAGCATTTTTTGTGTCTCTGTGAATTTTCAGTTTCAAAGAAAAAAAATTCCCTGTAATCCATGACTTTAGCACATTAGCGGATTTCGTTTTCCTCTAGTGTCTTTTGGTAATGTGTCACATATACATCTATCTTATACATAGAAATAATTTTCGTGTTCTCAGTTTTTAAAATGTTTCCTTCTTTACTTGGTGGATTCTGAATATATTTTCATGGTATTTAATGATTTTCATAATAGTTAAACACAATTATTTCCTTATTGTAGGACATCAGAATTCATAGTGACTGCTTAAGTAAAGTATTTGTCATATTTTTATTGGTTTGGTTTTTTGATATTTGTTTCCTAAGGATTTTTTTTTTAAATAACATTTTCTACTACCACAAATACAGAGTGCGCAATTTTTGTTTTGTTTGTTTTTGTATCAGAATAAGTCTTGTGTAAGAAAAGCTGTAGCAAGAGCAGTTTGGGATATTTTTTTCAATTTTTTTTTTTTTTTTGAGGAAATAGCCCACAGCACATTTTTAAACAAGTTGTTCTTGTAATTTCTCCATGCTTCCTTTCCCCTCATTTTCTTCTAGATATTTTCATTCTTCTTGACCTCCTGCTCGTTCTCCTGTCTCCCTTCCCTTCCTCCTTGGAGGGTTTTCAGAGCAACCATGTCCCCTCTCACCTTTGCATTTAACAATAAAGCTGTGTGTATGTGTGGAGAGAAGCTGAAAAATAAGACAGATGGTTCTTTCATTACCAGGTTGTTTTGGATTAATTGAACTGGATTTTTTTTTTTTTTTTTCAAGAAGCCTGAGCTGGGTGCAGTGGATAGCCAGTCATGAGCTATAGTAATGTAATATATACTGCCCATTTTGTTCTTGGACTTTTTTGTTTGTTTGTTTGTTTTTGGTAATTTCGTCACCCTGTCAAGCATTTTGGGAGGGGTCAGAAGTGAGTTTACTAAGATGATGTATTCATTGAACATTTTTTAATGGCTTAAAGCTTTTCTTGAGCAGTGAAGCCCATTCGTACTAAGCAATGCTATTTTTGTGTTTTTGTTCAGCACTTGCAAGTGGAGAAGCAGCCCAACCCTTTATCTTGGGTGATTGCTAGTGGAGAAGCTCTGACAATTTAGCAGACGGGCTCCTGGGCCTCTCGGACCCTTACCACATCCTTCGCCTTCAGGAGCAGAGTGACATTCAGGAGCAGAGCGCCCTTCAGGAGCAGAGCGCCTTTGGGAAACAGATTCCTAAAAGTGCAGGTAAGACACTACCGCTGTCTCAGACTTCTTAGTTGGGAGTTTGAACACTTGGAAGTTTCTTATACAATGTTGCCACCTCTAGCAGATGACTTTTAGATGCCTATTAATACATCTCTTACTAGTTCAACATGTGACCAGAGGGGCCATGAGACTTTGAATGTCACCAGTGACTGATCAGCATATCCCAAGTTGAGCTATGGAAGTTGTAAATACTTTTATTATTTTTTAAAATTTATTTATTTAAGTAATCGTTACACTCACTGTGCGGCTAGAACTCATGACCTCAAGATCAGGAGTTGCATGCTCTTCTGGCTAAGCTAGCTGCCCCTTAAATATTTTTTTTTTTTAATTCTTAATGTGGCTAGATCATCTTTGGGACTATTCTTAGCCAATATGGAAGGGAAAGAGTCAGAAACTGAAACACTGAAGCTAAAAACAGATCGTTACATGCATCACGGCTATTGTAGAAACTGCTGTTAATAAACTGTGTAACCTTGGGCAAGATGCTTGCCCTCTCTGGGCCTTGTTTTCTCAGTAGAATGAACTCTAGTTTCCTTTCCATCCTTAAATGCTACAAGTAATAATAATTTTATTAAAGTACCTTAGTATGATTTATAGGCATATTCTCTTTACTATTCCTGGAACCCATATACAAATTTAAAACTCCACTTCATATATTTATTCTGAGAAAGCTCTGGAGCTCAAATGTCCATCAGGAATTAGCTCCACATTTTACCCATTCATCTAAACCATCTTCCTGGTCGGTGAAGGCTCATCAGAAAGCAGTTATTCTTCTAGCAAATTTGTTACATTACTCTTTTGTTTGAAAATTGTTTTTGTGAAAGACACCCATTGACTGAGAACATAATGCTTTCTTTTTTTTTTTTTAAAGATTTTATTTATTTATTTGACAGAGATCACAAGTAGGCAGAGAGGCAGGCAGCGAGAGAGGAAGGGAAACAGGCTCCCCGCTGAGCAGAGAGCCTGATTTGGGGCTCGATCCCAGGACCCCGAGATCATGACCTGAGCTGAAGGCAGAGGCTTTAACCCACTGAGCCACCCAGGTGCCCCGATATAATGCTTTCTTTAGTGGTACTGGCAGATTTGGACATGTACAATGGCTTTGGACTTTGGTCCTTGGGAATCTTTTGAGCTCTTCACTGTCACAACGAGATTACTCATGAGTGGTTTCAGAGTCCTGAGCTCCTGGGCTGGCAGAACTCTTGACCACTGCAGACTCAGACTGGACGTGGACCTGGATCTGCAGGTTTCTTATTGCCAGACATACCTTCATATATTGGAATCTGAGCCATCATCATCTTGGTGATTTGTGGAACTGTCTTTCCTGCCAGTCTACACATCTCCTGGCATCAGATGGAAGTGCGGATTCTGGTGTGTGCCTACGCTCTAATTCCAGCCCTGCCACTTACTACCTTGGGGAAGGGATTCTTGAGGACGTTAAAATTTCTCTGTGCTTTAGTGTCATCACCCGTTTGGTAGGGATGACAGTAGTACCTTTCTTCAAGGGTGGTTTTGAAGAGTAAAGGAATTACACATGTAGAATATTTAGAACAGGTCTATTATGTAAATGTTCAGAACGCTGAAACTATTTTTATTGCCATCTGTTGCAGTTCCATTTTCTGTTCCCATTGTCTAGGGTTGAGACACTCAGCTCCTCACCCCTACCTTGTTAGACATTGCTGATTGTCTCTTTCTTCCCGAATCTAGAATGCAATATTTGAATCCTTCTCAATAGCATATCTGCGTAAGATGAAACTGTTTGTCCACTCAAATTTTTTCCATAGTTCTTGATTTTATTTCTTGCTTCAAGACATGAATTTGTTATGCTGATTCCAAGTCTGGGTTTTTTTTTTTTTTTTTTTTTAACTAAAACTCCAGAGCAGTTGTATTATGAAAAGCATAAAAAGATGTTGCTTCTATACCCAGAAATTGGGTCTAATTCTCACATGAGTTTTGCTGATGGATTACTTCTACCTTGAACCCCTTTCATTTTTTATTCAGAAGCAGATGAATAAGTCTTCCTATCAGGGATGCTTTGAAATGTTGAAATGAATGTGCAGAAATAGCTTAGTAATGGAAGCTTAATTTTCTAAAGCTATTATTAGTGCAATGGCATTAGTTCTTCAGGGTCTTTGCCAAGATGTTACAAAGTTCATTTTTTAGTAAGACCTTGGTCTGTGGGCAGTTAATATTTCATGAGTTTTAAAAGAAAAACGAGAACACGGTTAGGAGAGTCCTTACCGCATGCCAGACTTTTACCTGAGGGCTATTTACTACGTACCATAGCTCTGTTGGGTTAGGTATTATTGCCATCTTACAGCCGAGGACACTAAGTTATAAAGAGATTAAGCAACCTCCCAGGGTCCTGTAACTGGTCAGATATATAGAGCTGAGACTCAAACCCCCAGGGTCTGATCGCTGTGCAGGCAGCTTTAACACCTAATTATGCTGCTACTTGCAAAGAATTAATTGTATGGAGAAGAGAAGATGGAGCCCGACATGCCAGGCTAAGTGATTTTACATTTATTTGGCAGATTGTGGAAAGCCACTGACAGTTTCCCTGTGGAGTTCGTGACAGAACGAGAGCTGGGCTTTGAGGATTTGTGCCAGGTGCAGCACATGGGCTGGTTTCAAGAGACATTAGAGATCATTGCTAGAAGCTGAGAAGAAATGTTCACATGGCTTTAGGGACCAGCATTAATTAAGAGAAGACCTTGAGAACGCCCACATTTATGTGCGCCCAGGAGGAGGAGACCTGGAAATGTAGGCAGAGAAGTTAGAGGAGTGAGACCCAGGGCGGTGAAGTGCCCCCTGAAGGAGGTGACTTGGGAATTGAAACCGTGAAGGTTGGAGAGGACTGGAACAAAACCAAGACTAGTGGGTTATTACCGTGTCCCTACCATGAGACTGGAATCGTGCTAGAGGAAAGTCCATATAAAAGTGTCCTTTTGTGCCACGGACTCTACTACTTGTGAGTGAGATCCCCCTTGGCAAGTTTTTAAATTTTTCTAAATCCTGGCTGTCTCTTCTAGAATATGGTGACCTAAGACCTTTGTCTGTCAACATGCCATGAACTCTTTCCAGCTCTGAGGTCTGTAAATCCGGGGTTCAAGCTGCGAATAACAGTAATGGAGCCTGAGGTTGTAAAGGTTTGGCTGGTGATGCAGTTGACCATTTTAGGCAATGCAGAATGAAATATGTGCCCTGTAGATATGAGAGGAGTATTTCTTCTCAAAATATCAGGAGTATTGTGGTGATAGTGGTAGAGAGTGGAAGGAGAAGACTGAAAACGATATAGGAATGAAAATGTTGAGGGAATTTACAAGGCAACCACAAATATTCCCTAGAATGTGAGGGAAATTCTTCTCAAGCCACTTATTTCAGACAGAATCTGACTGGTTTCTTCTGGAATATTGAAAAGGCCAAGTCCAAAAGACTTAGCAAAGATAGCAGGTAATGTAGAGTGAGCTTCCGGTTCCTCTAAAAAACCCTTTGGGATATCTCCCAGAGCCCTGACCCTCTGGGATATAATTTCTCTTTACCAGACTGTCTCCCATCAGTACTTCTCAAACACACAGATCACCTGGGAGTCTTGTTAAAGCACCAGTTTGATGCAGTGGATCAAGGGTGTGGAGCTGCAGTTCTGCATTTCTACCAGGACCCAGGTGTTGAATGCTGCTGGTCCATGGACCTCACTTTGAACAGCAGGAGTCTAAAGTATTTTACTCTAGGTCTCTCAACAGATAGTCATATTTAGAAACAGTGTAACGGTTCCCTTCTCAGCCTCATCTCGGGGGAGTACACACCCATGATGAGCTCTTGATATCAACAGATGTATCAGTTCTTACTTCTGTCAATGATTTGTATTATTCAGTGGCATCAATAACTTGAATTGTTACGGGTGCAGGTTTTTTGCGTGTTTTTTTTTTTTTTCCCCTTCTTTAACTGAGGAATTCAAGCAAATCTGTTCAGGAATAGGCATGAGACTACAATATAAAATTTTTACATAAAGTTAAACATACATTTTCTGTATGACCCATGAGAACATATGCTTATTCAAAGACTTGTACTTGAATGTTTAATGTAGTGTTGCTAAAAGTAACAACAACAAAAAATGTGAAAAGAACTAAATGTCTATTAGGTGGTGAGTTGATAAATAGTTGTGGTGGTAGAGTCATAAAATGGAATACTACGTGACTGTAAAAAAGGAGAGGATTCCTGATATAAGCAACATGGACAATTTTTTAAAAGCATTTATACTAATTAAAATAAGCCAGATATAAGGTTCTTATCATATGCTTCAATTTAAATGAGCTTCTAGAAAAAGCAAAAGTATTTCAGTAAACAGATCAGGGCCAGGGAGTTGGCCTTAAAGAGGAAGATGGGAACTTGGGGTCAGAGGTTGATGGAAATATTTAGTATGATTTTAGTAGTTGTTACATGACTGTATACATTCGTGAAAACTCATCAAATTGTACACCTGAAAGTGAATTTTATTATAAAAATTTTATCTCAATAAAGTGAATTTAAAAAATCAGCTACTGTTATTAACCTGTTAACATATAATATTCCTTGGAGGTTATCTTATGAGTTGGGTATTAATATAAGGAAATAGAGAAAATTTCCACTCTGGGAGAAAAAATGGATCTCTGGGAGAAAATATGAATAAACAGTAGGAATGTAAGAAGTTCCCTTAAAAGCTTCTTTGTGTATTTTCAATGTGGCTGAGTCTGAAGAGAGAGATCTTGGAAAACAGGAACTTCAGTTCATTTATTTTTAGCATCCAGTATAGTATGCTATTAGCTGAATGATTTTAGTGTGTCCCACTGTGCTATTAAAAAACAAAATTCTGCTGAAAAGTCATTTCTGTCCTTTTTATATTCTTTGCAGTAAGCACAACCAATTTTCAGGAGAGGATTTGGTCATCTGCTTTGGCAGGGAAAGCTTAGCTTTAATTAGGTAAAAAGATCTGTTTACAT